AAATAAATATTATATTAAAAAATAATATAAAAACATTATTTCAAAATCTTTGTTGAACATGTTTTGTTGATGTGGCGATTTTTTTTATGATGTGGCTGCCACATGTGCTGGACTCCACTACTGGCGGGATTTCCTGCCTAGCAGAAGAAAACAAAAACGTACCTGTTTTCATTTTTGAAAGAAATTCCAAATTTAATTAAGAAATGGATTAATGTTTTGAGATAGAAAATGTAGTGACAGTTTTTAAGAAAATAAATTATTCTCTTTATTTTACAATAATAGATGTTTTTTATTTAAAATTTATTTTAAAATAATAGTTATTTTTTATATTTTAAGAATAATAAATATTTTTTATTTTAATTTTATAATTATTTTTTAATTTTAATTATTTATCATATCATAAAAAATTTTATTTTATTTTTAAAAAGTAAAATAAATAAAAATAAAATTTTTTACCTAATAACTAATGCCTATTAGAAAAAAATATTTATTATTTTTGGATAGATGAAATAATAATTTTAAAAATTAATATCTTTAAATTCTTGTCTTGAATATTTAGTTGAGTAAATTACATATACAAGAAGTTTTTTTTATTTTTTTTAATGTTGGTTATATAATGGAAGATAATTTTTTCTTATTTCTTATTTCATCACACTCACACACCGTGCGATTCAAATTCAGAACCTTTTACTTCTAGTAAAAAAAGATTATCACTGAATTATTTAAGTCGTTAACATCCATAGAAGTTTTGAAAGAGTATGTTATGTTAAAAAGTTTTAAAGAAAAAAAATATTTCCTTATTACACCTAATAACAACATTAAAAAGGAAAGGGGTTTCTAACTCTTCACTTAACTATTTTATAACAAATTTAGAAAATTTACACATAAATTAAATTAAACGTGAAATCTATTCTCTAAGTTCTTAATATAGACAAAGAATACAATCCAAAACGAAACCGTTTTCCCCCATTTGGTATGTAATTGGAGATCTTTGCTTCTGAAGATCTTTGTGAAACAGAGACAAGAGAAGCTTCTTGATTCCATAACTGCATCACTCGTTCCCCACTCCAGATGCTCTCGTTTTGCCTCTAATGACCCAGAAGATCCCCTTCAAGTACTTACCCAGATCTCCTAAGAAGCTCTCGTTCCACCATAAAGTTACTCTGACTGCATCTCTCACGATCGGCACCCTTTCGCAGAATGTTTCGATGGTCATTGACACCGACAGCGATCTCTCTTGGCTCAACTGCAACATTAGCTACACCAACACTGGAAACATTTCCGAGCCGTTCACATTTGACAAACACACGATCTTGTTCTGGGTGGGCTCCCATGGGGAGTCGAAGATGAATAAGGATTGTTGTTGGGATGATGACGGTGATGGGTTTGAGAGGGAAGAAATGAAGAGGAAGGGAATTAAAAAGGGAGGAGACATGCTCTTAGCTTGACGTAAGGTCTGGTATGGTGAATTTGTGGAACTGGGTGAGCGGAGGCTGTGCTTGGTGGAGGTGTTTCTTTTCTTTTTCTTTTTTTTTGGTGTTTCTCTGTCTTTAATGAAAATAATAATATTTTTTTATTTCCCTCTTTTTTGGTTGGAGACATGAGGAAAGGCTTGAAAAGTCCGCCAGTGGTGGGGCCCATCATGTGAGGCAGCCACATCATCAAAAAAACCTCACCACATCAGAAAAACATGTCCTCGTAATGTCCCATTTGACTTGCTTTGCCACGCAACACGAAAGCTAACGGAAATTAACGTGCACGTGACCTGCCGTTACACTTTTGTGTTTTTGCGGTTAATTTATTGCAGAGGGTGTTAATCGGGATAAAAATTAATTTAGAGGGTTTACCGTAAAAAAAATATATGTAGGGACAAATAAGGGTTTTGGTCAAAATTAAAATATACTCTATTAAAATAAAAAATGAAATAATTAAATTAAATTACATTTATTTAAAATGTGAGACAATTAAAT